GCGTTCACCTTCAAGGAATTTTATACATGCAGTGTTGACCTTCCTCAGCTTTTCAGTTTTGTTTTATTCTTGGAAATGAAAAAAAATAAATTGTGGAGGCTAAAACTGCATAGGATATCTTGGCTTGCTTCAGAGTTTAAGTCTATTGTTTGAATCCGTCCTGAAATTCTATGTGCATTTCATACCAAAATGCTGGACATTACAGCATGTGCATCTGCATAAACCTAAAGTCTGATTTTGATTTCTATCAAATACACATGCTATAAGAATAATGTGAGGCTTGGACTTCCGGTGGATTTTGCGCGCGCGATGGCGGCTACTTTGTAGCCGTCTTTCCTGGGTAAGTGTAAGAACCGCTATGAACAGCAGACACCAGCTGTTCAGCGGTTCAAAATCCCCCTCCCGGGCAAAGGGGGGGGGTAGAGAGTGTCCGAATAGTGGTAGAGCCTCTTTTGCACCCCCCAAGTTTTTTTGGGGGGGGGGTGAAAGGAGTGCTCCCACGGAGTTCGGACTTGTCTCCGCTTCCCAGCTGTTTTTGTCCTCAGGGACAAAACGAGCCGCTGCAAACACCTCCGTGCTTAAAGAGAACTGGTGAGTTTTTTTTTTTATAAACGGACAGAGCTGAGTAGAGGATTTAGTTTTTGCTTTCTTTGATTTATTTGGATTTTAAGTTTTAAGACTTGCTTCTATTTTTATTCTCTCTTTTTATTTTATTTTTTTTTTTTTCTCTGTTGAAAGGGAAAGTAAAATGGCGATCGGCAAATCTCTCGGTGTTTTTTTTTTTTTGAAGTTAGAATGCTGACCGGCAGGCTTTTTGGTGTTTCTTTTTCTTTCCTTTCCCTTTCCCTTTTTATTTTCTTATGATTGGAATGGTTGTTTTTGGTATCTCTAAGTATTTTTTTTTTGGAATGGACTTTTTCTATTTAATTATTATTATTATTATTATTATTTTTTTCTTCTCCCTTCTTTATATTGTAATGACTCTTTTTTGAAGGACTTTTTTCTGTTTAATTTTTTGTAATTTTTAAGAAGGTGTAAAGCTTTTTTTAATTTTTTTTCTCTTCCTTTTTTTTTTTCTTTTCCCTTTTTTCTTTTTATTATAATGACCTTCTTTGGAGGGAGTTATGATTTTTGAAGGAATTTTTATAATTTTTTAAGAAGGGCTAAAGGTTTTTCTTTAAGATGGCTCCAAAGCGTCCAGGGATTTCTACAGCTTCTAAATCAACAGTTTCACCCTCTTCTGGGGGTCAGCTAATAACTATGAAGGATTTGCAAAACATGATGGGAGATGTTATAATTCAAATTAGGGCAGAAATGAAAAAGATTTTAGAGGAAAATAATAAGATCTTGAGACAAGATTTTGTTTTGGCTTTAGAAGGAGTTGCTTCTGTTCTTGAAAAGGTGAACTCCCATGTGGAAGAGGTAGCTGAAAAAGTGGACATAATGGAGGGGAAAATTGAAAGTATGGAAAAAGAAATGGAAAATGAGATTCTTATGCTTCAATATGGACAAATGGAATATGCCTTAAGAATCAGAGGCCTGGAAGAGTCTTTGCAAGAAGATTTGAAAGAAATGGTTGCAAAGGACTTTGCATTGATTTTGAATAAAGAAAAAGAGGGAATACTTAGTGAAATTGAAAAATTATTTAGGGTTAACTCTGTGGTGGCAGCACAGAAGAATCTGCCAAGAGATGTGGTAATTTACTTTGGTAAAAGATCCTTATGCAATCAAATTGTGCAAGCCTATTATAAGAAGAGATTTCAAATTGCTTCACAAGATGTCATAATTTTTAAGGAGATCCCATCTAAAATTTTAAGAAGAAGAAAGGAGTTTGCTTTTCTAGTAAATGAACTTAAAAAGAGAAAAATTCTATTCAGATGGGATATTCCGACTGGAATGGTGGTGAACTACCTGGGGACATGTCATAGACTTAATACTGTTTCTCAAGCAAAAGATTTTTATACTTCGGTCCTGGGGGTATGTGCATCGCCATCTATTAGGTCTCAACAAGTCCAGATTGAGGAGCAGAAGACAACTTGTGTAGCACATAACTCCAAAGAAAAGCAGCAACAGAAGAAGGTTAAGGAAGTTTCATATTCAGCGGTCTCTGAATCTCTGGGAGATGTTGGACTTACAAAGTCTTTGGAGCAATCTTCAAGGGTAGCTCTGGGAGAAGTTAGACCTACAAAGTCTTTGGAGCAATCTTCAAGGGTGGAATTGCTGCCTGAAATCGAAATTGGGAAATTTCAGCTTGAGGGGCACCAACAAGAGAGGAACGGGCAGAGGATAACTTGTACAACTTACAACTGTGAAGATCAACACAAGGAGGAATTTACTGAGGAAGTTTTACAGGTATCGGTCCCTGAGACTTGTGCAACATATAAATGTAAAGAAAAAGTAACATATAAATGTAAAGAGAAAGACCAACAGAAGAAGGAGGTTGAGGAAGTTTCACAGGTACTGATTCCTGAGCTGGTGGGTCAACCAGGACTTACAAACTCTTTGGAGCGATCTTCAAGGGCAGAATTCCACGCATTTTTTTCGATGCTTGCGGGCAAGAGAGACCAATATGGATTGTGCTTATAGTAGATGCAACTGGCTATTAGACAGAAGATTATGGATATTGAATGAAAATTTTAGATAAGAAGTTTGTGTTTATAGTGGGTGCAACTGGTTATTGGACAGAAAATTATGGACATTGAATGAGAACTTTAGACAAGAAGTTTACTATTGAGATTGTGGGAGAAGTAAAACTTATATCGTTTTTGGAAAATGTCTTATGTAATGTCTAAATATGTGTTTTGGGATAATAATATATTTCAGTTTTAAGTTTTAAACCTTTAATGATAATATTGTTTAAACCTGTGTTTTGAAGGGATTATAATTTGTTTATTTCAGTGAGGGGATTCTAATAAATTTGTGTTTCGAAGGGAGTATAATTTGTTTAAGTTTCAAGTAATGCTTAAATTTGGTTTTTAAATATTATTATTAATATTTCTAAGAGAAAATAATTTGCTTAATTAAATGTCTAGATTTGTTTAGGAAAGAAAGTAATGCTTAAATCTGTGTTTTTGGAGAAAGTTTATATAGAATGATGATTGTATTTAGATTTGTTTAGGATTTAAAAGTGTTTCAAGCTTTTAAATATTATTATTAATATTTTTAAGAGAAAATAATTTGTTTAACTAAATGTGTCTAGATTTGTTTAGGATTTTTAAGTTTTTTTTTTTTTTTGGATAGGTGAGAAGATGATGAAGATTGAAGGAAATATGTATTTACTTTAAGTTTTCTAAGAGTATTTAGTTTTAATGGTACAACAAAGGTTTATATGTTTATCTTTTTGTATTAGGATAAAGAAAGAGGGAGAAATTAGATTTTACATTATAGCTATAGATATTCAAAGAAAGTAATGTTTAAATTTGCGTTTTTGGAGGGAGTTTATATAGAATGATGATTGTATTTAAATTTGTTTAGGTTTTAAAAGTGTTTTAAGTTTTTTTCTCAATTAAGCCTGTACTCAGCTCTGGGAAGTCTAGGGGAGGGTTTGGGAGGTTGGGGAGGAGGGGGGTGAGGTAGGGTTGGGGGGGGTATGGGAAGGGGATTTGTTTTTGTAAAAATTTAAAAATTTTCAATAAAAAAAAAAAAAAAAGAATAATGTGAGGCTTGGAGATGATGGGCATTGAGATGATGAAAGCTTATTATTTTGTACAAAGCTGCTTGTAAAAGTTGCTTTCCATAAAGTTGCTTGCCCAAAGCATGTACGGTATGTCTGTTAGCAGGTATGGTTTTTTTCAAAGAACATTTAAACATTCCTTCTAATTTTTGTTAAAAATATTTTCAAATTAAGATGCATTAAAACAAGAATTTTATTATATAATTATATTGCCTCAGTCATGGACTTAAGTGAAGAACTATATGGTCGTAAAGTCTAGGAGTAATAGAAGGAGATTATGGTCTTCCTCCTTCCATCTTCTTTTTAATTTTCACTAAAAACTGTTAAGAAGTAAAAGGTAGAACAACCCACACTTTGTCTATATGTGGCCAGGATAAGAGCCCTCTGTCTGGAACCATTCCTGTGTATTCATTCATAAAAGCAACTTGACTTCTTAATACAAAAGCTCTTAATCCTATTACTTCTCACATTAGGAAATAAAGCAGTGTTAGGCATGCGTGAATGTTTTTTTCTTGGTATCAAATATTTGATGCCTATGTACCTAAAAAGATAAATGCAGCCTGAAAATATTCCATCAGTTACTTCTATCACTTATTTAGCACTGTTTTCCCCCCATCCCATAATACATTTACCATAACTATCCTCAAACTTTCTATCAAAAGCAGAAAAGACAATGGACAAGTTATTCAGCTAAACACCAAAGGTGCAGATGCTTACAAATGCCAAACATGTCAATGCACTATTTATTTGCACACTGCCTTGTTCAGGAGCAAATGAAGCATTTACTTCCAATCATTCTTGACTCAATTAGGTAAAAAAATAGGTTACATGAAAAACATTATTTTAATTAATGAAACACTTGATATGAATAAAACAGAAAAAAATGCATAAAATTTACCAAATCACCAGAAAGAATTATTTTTTATTAATAGCCACAAACATACATTGGGAAATATAAGCAATATTTCTAAGAAACTGTCTGGTAAGTGAGGATATAAAACCCTATAAATCAATATTTAGATTTTAAACATTGTTGTTAACATCCAAGGGACACAAACTGCCAAGTTGTATAAATTACTATTTGAGTTTATATCACAAATTAGCTTAAATTCCAAGCTGATGCATTTGTATTCATGTGAAAGACAGAATTGATCAAAGTTGACATTGGAGAGAAACCTAAGCATCTTTCATTTCTCAAGAACATTTCAGAGGCAGTTTCGGTCTAAAATGTTTGAAATAGCAGCAGTCAATTAGAAATTCTACTTGCATCCTTTCTGTATACCAACAAACTGAAATTCCAGACAAATGCAAGATAAAGTAAACTTACTTGGAAAGGAGGATGACACAATTTTGTGCTCTCCGGCCATCAATCACAGAAAGCTCTTTCACCTTTCGACTGGTTAGGTATAAGTCTTCAGTTGATCCCATTTCCTTCTACAAATAGTTTAAAAATGGGAAATTATTTCTTTTTTCTTATTGAATTTTTCAGTCAATGCAATACTTAGAAGGAATACATCATATCCAAAGTAACCAGTGTGGGAGGAAATCCACCCAAGTTGTAGGATTACAATGCTATAAAAATCAAACTGGAAATAAAATTAAATGTATAAACATTTTGTTTCCTTATTTATTATGTGTTTCCTTCCAAATCCAGATGTAAGTGCAACAGACAACAGTATATGTGCAAGCATGCATGCATATATATGTGCATCTCAGATCCTTATTTTATTGTCTTTGCTATAAATGGCATTGCCTGAAAAGTATAATTAAATGTAGAACACTTTACACACATGGTGACATGCATCACAACACATTATATAAACTTAAATCCAAATAAATAAAGTATGTTCAAAAAGTGGGAACAATATTATAAAGGGGGATTGTATGACCACCAGGGAAAGTGAAATAACCTTTGTCTTTATGGATAGAATTGAGATTAAGAAGAGGATGATGGAGAGGTAAGGAGAAACAGGTTTTCTGATTTCATTTTCCCCTGTAACTCCTTAAAAGTTGAAGGAAATTAATTTCTAATGGCTACAAAGGGCACCTCCTTGTAGACTTCTTGGTAGCAATGCAGAATCATTTGATATCGCCTGCTTTCAAGATATTTTTCAATTTCCCAATCTAGGTTACAGATTTAGGATTCTCCCTTTCTTTCTTTCTTTCTTTCTTTCTTTCTTTCTTTCTTTCTTTCCTTCCTTCCTTCCTTCCTTCCTTCCTTCCTTCCTTCCTTCCTTCCCTTCTTTCTCAGTTCTTCTTTATTGCTTGAGGTTTTTGTTTTTTTGTTTTTTTTAAAAAAATCCCTATAAATATTAGGATGCTAAGAAAGAATCTGGTATCAATCATGCTGGACTATGTTTGAGATTTACTCTTGCAATCTTTTCATTGTAAGAAGGAATCTAAAAAACTCAGTGTTGTATTGGAATGGAGTAGTATATGGAACCTAGTAAATAAATAAAAATGCAAACAAAATTCCTAAAATCCCACATTGTTCCAGAAGATCCTCAGTTTAGTGGAGCAGATATTCCAAGAGTGGAAAAGCTGAAAAATGAAGAATCATTAAAGTCACCTCCCTCTTGTATTCACTGGGACATCATGACATAACTCAATTCAAAAGATGTTCACATGAACAACTGAAAGTCAGGATCCTTTCTTTAGTAAATAAAAGTAATAGGATTATTAGCAAGAGGTGAGTTACGCCTATTTTTCTGTCTTTTGTAAACAAAAGGAAGAGCAGCCATTTCCAATATCGCTCACTTGTTCACGTAGGTTTGGATACACAAAAGCAGACTGAATTTTGATTTCTGTCTCTCAAAATTCATGCAAGACAGAAACACCTATACATATGCAGATGAAAAATAAGGTTTACTCATGCAACAAACAAAGTGGGTTATGAAGTTACAGTTGGATCTCGTGATCTCAACACTGGAAAAGAAATCTGCAAAGTCAGAAAGGGGACAGGTAGTAATACTCACCGGCTTACATGAGGAAGAAGGATTAGTTAACAGGTCCTACTCAGGCAACAGTTGAAGATAACAGAGAAGGAAACATGCCAACAGTTAGCAACAGCAATAAAAAGGTAACAGAGTTTATCAAAGCAATAATATTTGGTCTTCTAATGAAGCGCTGGTTAACTTGACACTATTAAAATAATCAAAGAAGAAATGCCTTGCAGTTTGTTCTCCCTTCCGTAGTCACAAAAAGTAGGAAATATTACTGAATTTGCCCCTTTTCCATAGAGATTCTAAATACGATCGTTAACAGGATTTTATAGGCAATAATAGGGTTTCTCACTACTTTCTTTTTTGCAATTATGTTAGTCATGTTATAAAATAATAAACTGGCCTTTTGAACATCATAAAATAATCCGTGAGAGACCTTGGAATAAAATTTTATTCCTGTTTAACATTGCCTTCTCAGTATATAACAAACAGCAAATACTTTTGTATGGAGTGAAGAACAGATCCTTTGTCTTCTCTAAGAAAAAAGAAGTCATTTACAGGAAAAGAAGCTGGGGGACCAAATACAATATCATATTAACTGCAGCAAGAAAAAGAAATGTCTCATTCATGCTCATGCATGCAACACCCCCCCCCCCAAATGTCTCTGGGATTTGCTGAGTTTAGCTTCATTTGGCTGAAGTTTAAAGCCGGTGAATGACCAGAATAGAACTGGTCTGTTTAGACAAGCAAACCTCATTTTGATCATATCTTAAACTTGCAGAATTATGATCCAGTCCAATTCCACTTTTTATAGCAAGACAGGAAGTCTTCAATTAACTATCTAAATCTCTAAACTTTGGTTAATCAAATGGGAACATATCAGGAACATAATCTCAGTTTGATGTAAAGCTTTAGCCTGTCCGAAATTTGGTTAGTTTTGTTATTGATAAGAAGTGCTAAGAGGTCATTTGTCGCTGAAAGGGAACCAGACTTTACATGTTGATTCAGAAGTGGTCAACTCATTTTCATGTGCTTTTTGGCAATAAAAATGAATCTGAAACTTTTAGGAGTCCTGAAATTTCCAAAGAGAAATTGAAAGATGTTGGAGTCAGGTCAGGTTTTTGAACTAATTTATTAAAGTCTTTCAATAGTTCTCTACAGTGTGGCATCATTGTTTTATATTATTGGAGAAGAAAAGCTGAACTTCCATCACAGCTTTGGACTATCATCTGTACAGCAGACAACTGGGAGAAACCTTGTTTTCAAAATATAATTTAATAGCTAAGAAAGAATTTGGAAAAGAAGGGGAGGGAAAGTTAAAGTCCCACTGATCCATCCAGTTGAGTCTCATTTGTGACAGAAAGACAGCATGAGGGTGATCTGCTTTCCAAGAAAAGGAGGAAAAAAACCTGCACAGCTGCTATTAAAAGTATGTCACTACTGTTAGCATTAAAATATCCATTATAATCTATTATTTGAAAGAAAAGACAATGAAGTAAGCCAAGTACAAAGCTGAACTAAATTTATTACACAAGATTTATTAGCTAAGAAGAAACTATATTACAAAATGAGGGGGGAAATGGAATTAACATCATTAATAAAACAAGTGAAAAAAGACTAAAAACATTCCATTCAAATTGGGTGGCTAATAAATTTGAATTACTAGACTAGACTAGACCAGGCCAGACCAAATCAAGCCAAGCCAAGCCAAACCAAACCAAACCAAGCCAAACCACACTAAACACCATTACCCATCATATACTGTAACAACTGCAACCACAAATCAGATTGGCAAAGCCAAGTATTGTATTTTTCCACTAAAGGCAGACATTATGGCAAACAAAATGTAAGTACTTGCTGAGACTATGTTAAACTTGTCTACTTACTATCCAACATTCTCATCAGTACAAGGTATCTTGTCAAGCCACCATTTGATGTCTCTCAGTGTTTCAGAATGATGCTATATGATGATCTTGCAGGAAACAGAGCCTCGCACTATGGCACATCATTTCCAGTCATCAACACCAGGTAAGTTAAGAGTCCACCAATAAAAGAAGGAGCCATCCAGAAGACTATTTACCTGGCATACTCAAACCTGGACCCAATCTGTTTATCCTGAAAATACTATATCCATGAAAAGACATTTCCTACTGCTTTTTTTCTGTTGGTGCACCAAATATTGAAACCATTTTTATAGAGGAACATAAAGACTTCAGAACCTGAACTGAGGGAAATAGCATTGAATGTCTTACCTGATGTCTTTGATAGGCTGAAAACATTTTTTCAAAATCTTCCAAATCCAACATCTTGAAAGCTTGTATGTCATCAATTTCATGCCAGATGGTACCATGTATCTTTTCCTAAAATTCAAAGAGATGTATATAGCTATGGTTAGTCCTAATTCTAGTGAATAATAATTTTCACATAGCTATCATTGTTCCATCTTCAACCTCCAAATACACACAAAGGCGAAATGCTATTAAAAGTAATACTTAGAGAATCGCTTCCCTCATTTTTCTTTTCATAGCTGATTGCAATTCATTCGTCTAACACTATTAAATATATCATAGATGGGTAACATAGATTTTACTCTAAAAACACTTTTTATGCAAAAAAAAATCAGAAATTTCTGATTTTGGAGGAGGAGGAGGAGGAGAAGGAGTAGGGGGAAGGCTGCCCAGCATGTGGTATCTTGAAGTCCAGATTGGCTAAAAGTAGAACACTCCTACCTTCTCAACTGAAGCTCACAAAAGGCACTCACATAGTAAAGTGCATTAGCACTTCATTATTAAAATAATTAAGAACAGCTTCTATCTCCCACTCAGCCTTATTAAAGAAACAAGAGAAAAATGCATTATTCTGAGAAGCTAAAAGGGGTCAGAAAGAATTCAATGGACAGAACATGATTAAAAGAAGACACAAGTTTTGGAGAAAATCCAGCCCAAAAAATAAAGACAAAAGCAAAACAGCCATGTCTTTGGACTCTCCTGAAGTCACTTTTTTGGCTTTTAAAAATGGCTCATATTACAAAGCAAGTTTCCATTGAGAACTGCAAAGTTTTCTGCTTTGTCTCTATTAAATCCACTCAGAGCTGTTAGAGTGTTCTGGTCTGTCTAGTTTATAATTTTGTATGAGACATGAAACCAGAATATGGAAAATGACCCTGGGACACATTTTATTCTGCACATCTTTATGAGCCTCATGGGAAGACACTGATAGAGATGACTACAATCAAAAATATAATCCAGAATTGACTGCCTAAAATGAAGCCCAATGAAGTTCCATAAAGCTGACTAAATTTATCACATGAAAACAGCAATTATCAAAAATTAAACCTCCAGAAATCCACTTTCCTATTAAGACACACTGGTTGTATTCCCTTTTTTCAATTCTTCTATTTGTTCCCCAAATTTGTTCTGATATCATTTTTTTCTACTTAGACTGTGGTATAAGAGTTTTGCTACAGTCTGTCCAAGCACATTACTATTTTTCCATTTTTTGTCTCTGGAACTTACAGATGAATTGGCCACACCATATCTCCAGCAACAACAACAAAAGCAGGTTTGTGGATGTATCAGGAAGAGATGTTCACATGTGTTAGAGAGGGAGTGAGAGGATTATTACAAGTAGGAGTTGTAGAATGAGCTGAGCAAACAGGAGAAGCTCAGGACAAAACTAGCTGGAGGCCTGAAGTTATCTGCAAAGGCTGACTGAAGGGGCCAAAGAAATGGGATACGTTTCAGAAGCATGAATAGCAAGAAATTGTGAGCGGCAACAGGGCCAAAGGTGAAAGCAGCTGCAGAACCAGGCAGCCATGCCAACCTCTGTAATTGTGACAATAGTTCACAGCAGTGATAGCAAACTTTCCCCTTCTTAGTCAGAAACAGAGAGATGCCAAAATCTCAGCAGCAATTCAGGCCAAAGGCAACAGATGCCTGGCTCAAAACCCTGAAAAATGCCAACCATCAACCAAATCTTGGATGGCTAAAAGATAGCCAGAAATCAGGCTCTCCCACATCGTAAGTGGGAGAAAAGCAAAGGATGGGAATAAACTAAGCTAAGATCATTAGCTCCCTACATTAGGTGTAGGAGAGGAAGGAAATACAATGATAGACATTGATATAAGAAACATACAAGAAATAGGCATAGCTATTGTACTTATAGAATATAAATTGTGAGATAAGGAAAGAACATAGACAAATTTAGAATGTGTGATTCCATGAGCATATATATCTGTATATACTTATGTATGCAGCCCTTGGGTTACAAAAGCAATTGGAAACAGAATCTCCATTGCTAAATGATGCAGTTGTAAAGTATGAAGTCATGTGACTGTGTCACTCACACAATGATGGAAATCACAAGAACATGACTGCAGCTTGCTGTGACAGCAAAATTGTAAGCCAGACACCAAATACTTGTAATGTGATTACATAAGCACAGAGACATTGTAGCAGTCAAAACTTCACAACTTTCAACAATCACAGAATGTGTGGTTGTAACTTGAGAACTACGTATGTGTCTGAATTATTCCTTCCTTCCTTCATTTATAGAGCCATTGAAATGTGTACAAACCTGGAAAAAAGTCGATAAACCTTCAATGTTCTTGTAAAAAAAATGCTGTACTATAAATTTTGTGGTACCAGTTTATAGTGTGAGGAATCCTATGACTGAAAGCTTATCAATTACCTTCCACAAAAAGAAAGTTTACAAATAAAGTAGAACCTCAGCTTCCTGTTCCTATGTTAACTCTGTATATGCATAAATATTATAACAATTTTACATAATCAAATATTCTAGTTTTGATAAATCCTGGTAATCCACCTATTATTTCATATACAATAAACAAGGATTTCCAATCTAGATACTATCTTGCAAGCCAACATAATTTTGCCAACTGGGAGGCACCTGCAATGCACTGATATATCTACTCATGATGTTCCACTCAGTATAAGCCATATGAAAAATAACCTAAATACTAAATTTCCTAAATATTAAATACTATTACTGAAGTCCCACCCTAGTTTTGGTAGCTACTATATACATGTAAATTATGGCAAACTCAATCAAATCACTCCTACCCAAAATCAAACTATTCCTCCATGCCCCAAAGCTCCATTTTTATTCATTCTCTAACCCTTATTGATAAGTACAGCTGTCTCCCCTGTGAAAAAGAAGGAAGGATAAGCCTTTGATCCTGTAAACTAAAAAGAAACATATGTGTCTCTGGTTGTTCAGTGTTTGTGTATGTGCATATAACTGTCTTTTTTTCTCACCCGAAGTACCAATTTCTGAAAATAAAACTTACTCCCTTAGCCCCACGTGGCTTTGAAAGACAAGAACAGGAGGAGCAGCAAATATTTCACTTCATCATATTTGAAAAAAAGAGAGCAAGCGAGGAGAAGGCACATTCTTGTGGCATTCCAAAGGTCCCGAGACACTTATTCCACATGCCTGAGCTGAGTCCCGAGTGACTTGGGAGTCTTAAAAAGAGCATGGATTTCTAGGCAGCTACCCAAATTCAACACAGATAGTATTCCATCTGCATTTTTTAATGACCAAAGAGTAATAGGGGTGATGGAAATTAGAAGGTGGGAGTTGAACCAAAACAAGTGTGCTACACAAAAGGTAGGCTGGATACTCCTCTAGAAGGAAGAGCTAGACTGATTTGTAACTAGAAGAGAGAGATTATGCTCCTTCATGGTTATGCAATGAACGAGTTGTTCAGAGAACTGCATGTCATTTAGCCTCTGTAAATGTTCTAGCCCCAGGGCTGGCTCAAACTTTTCCGCATGCTTTTCGCTATCACCAATCTACCCCCAACATACACACTCCATCCATTTTAGTGGAAATTGAAAAGTTAAAAGCTTCCTTCCAAAGAGGTTTGGTTGAAAATATGCTGCACAAGAACTCCAGCAGACCGTGGGCATATATAAATACCACAGCATTTGCATGTGTTTGGATAAATTTTAAATGTTAACACTTCTACATGCAATGTGGAAAGAATGTTTTTTTGCTAGAGTTTGACATGGAAGAGGAAGGAACACTTAAATAGGGTTGACTGAAGAATGTATTTTGAAATGTCAGTGTGTTTCCTCTCTGCTAAAATGTTTAAATTACAAAATTGCAGTATTAGAAGTTTTGTGGTGAGTTTGAAAACTCAGTTTTGTAATGAAATTTAATTACAAAATTCTTCCCACTTCAAAAAATTAACTTAAGATGATGTGTGTGTCTGTGTGTATAAAAATTTTCTTCTCGCCCTTATCGGTCCTCTATCAGAATTTTGGGAGGGTTCTGCATAGTAGCTTAGCTCTGTCCAGTTTCTACTCTGATGTTGTTCCTGGGTTCTGTTGGAGCCTCTCTCCCAGCATAGGAGTCACAGTCCCGAGTGCTCCTATCACCACTGGGACCACTTTGGCCTTTACTTTCCACATCCTTTCTAGTTCCTCCTTCAGACCCTGGAACTCCTCCATACTCCTTCTTCCTGATGTTGCTGTCACTTGGCACTGCTAATTTATCGCCACCAGTACTTGCCTGTCCATCTGGTTCTGGAAGTCCCACAGTATCTTAGCCCTGTTATTCTCCATAATCTCTCCATTTGGACTTGGAAAGAGTCTAGCGGCTAGCCCATACACTTTGCAGATGTTCCTGTACACAATGCCAGCTACTTGGTTGTGCTGCTTGGCATATAATGTTTCTGCCTGAATTCTTACACCCTGTCACCATGCTTTGGACTTCTCTGAGGTGTCTTCTGCATAATCCGCATCTTGGCTTCTGTCTCGTATGGGGTGCAACACAGAACTCAGGATATCACTACACTAGATCTCAGGATGTCATCACACAACCCCATTACCCATTACAACACAAAAGACTAATGGGCACACAACCAGCACCTGAACTACTCAGGATGTTATGAAACAGCTAAACAATCCACAAACAATAATTCCTACAAAGCCAACCTACAGCAACTAAGCCAGCACTCCACCCCCCCACACCAATATATATAGAGAGATGGCAGCTCCGATCACACTCTGCTCGCACAAGCATGAAGCCGAAGACCCCAGCCTGAAGATGATGAGTGGGACCTCGTCAAAACGTCGCCAAGATACTCTCAATCTTACACAGCAAAAGACCCGAATACACCAAGACCTGCATATATATATATGGTTTTGAACCTTACCTCAGTCAATTTGGCCCAGTTGAAGGATTTCAGTGGATGAGATGGCTGTGGGATTGCTTTTTTCTTTAGGCTAATCTCACTGTTGCTAAACGTGGTGGTGGAAGAAACTGGAGGCATACTGATATTGAAGAATGGAGGTGCTCCAGGTGGGGGTGGAGGTCCACTTGGAGGTGGTGGTGGAGCTGGAGGGGGAGGACAGCTGGAGAAAGGAAGAGGTGGTGGTGGCGGTGGCAAAATCTCTGATGATCGTAGAGAAGAGGACAAAGAAAATGGTCCACCAGATGGTAATTGAGGAGGAATTGGGAATGTACTATTCCCTTGCTGGAAAAAAAAGTAATATTTGGGAGCAATCAGTAAAATCATGCTAGTTTTTATTCTATTTCCAAAAATATAATATGCCTCATCAAACATTGTAAGAGTCATATTAGTGATTACTTCATGGTGGTAAGGGTGACAAAATATCAATATTTTAAAAATGTCCCTTTTAAGGGTCATCCTGTCACTACCAGGTAGGTATGGAAACCTGGGTAATCTGCAAGGCCTCTATGAGGAATATTTTGGCTAATTAGCAATGGCACTTAGATTTATATACCAGTTGACAATGCTTTACAGTCTTCTCTAAGCAGTTTATAGAGTCAGCATAGTGCCCCCAACAATCTGGGTCCCCATTTTACCAACCTTGGAAGGATGGAAGGATGAGTCAACCTTGAGCTGGTCAGGATCGAACTGCTGAACTGCTGGCAGCCAGCAGTCAGCAGAATTAGCCTGCAGTACTGCATTCTAACCACTGCACCACCATGGCTCCTAAGGACAAAGCTGCTCTGATCCACACTGAGTTGGATTCTATCTGAGCAGATCCAGCTAAGGTGCCAGGAGCACAGTTTGGTGGCATGATCTGTGATGAATTTGAATCAGGGATACTTGCAGAAGTGGACAGGATTCTCTGCATTGTTAGTAGAGCCACTTGTTTACTGCAGCCAGATCCTTAATGGTTCATTAAGGTGTCCAGAAAAGTGACATGTAGTTTTGAGTTCATATAGTGGTGTCGGCAGTCTTAAATCAAGCTATGGTCCACCCCCTCCTCTACAGGCTCTTTCTGGACCCAACTATTTTAGATAACTATTCTGTCCCTAACCTTCTTTTTAGGATAGGGTGTGATAAGGTGGAAGTTACAAAAGATGTTGGAAGGATTGGATTATTTAGACCTATTCTATTTGGGGTTCAGGCTAAGATTCAGTGCAGAGACAGTGATTGGGTTGGGACAGTGATACCTCTGACAGTATCCATCTGGACTAACACTGGTATCTGGGAATTGGGAGGACTGTATTATGCTGGTTCTCTTCCTTCCTTCACAGATTAATAAGTGTTGGGGGAAAGGCTGCTTTTTTGACCCCTCCTTTAGGGGTGTCACAGGACATAACACTCTCTTCCCTTTTAACATCAACATTAAATCACTGAGTGAGGTCATCCATTGGTTTTGGGTCAGGCATCATCAGTATGGTGATAATATCTAATTTTCAGGCGGCAGGTAGAATTGTTTCTCAGAGGGCTTTTGGACAGCTCCATCTGGCATGCCAGTTGTGCCCATTCTTGGACTGGGCAGGTATTCAGGACTGTAATTAACTCTATATGGGATTTCCCTTAAAAACACTCAGAAGTTCCAACCATTCCAAAATGCAGTATCATGAACAGTGACATAATTAGATATCTATGTGACACCTCTGCTTCATGAACCACACTGGCTTGCTAGTGTGCTGCTGGTACAATTGAAGGTGCTGGCTATCACCTGTAAAGCCCAAATGGCATAGGATCCATTTATTTAAGCAACTGCCTATTACCCATGGTTTCAGCTTGTAGTACAATCTGGTAGAGTGGACACATTCCAGGTCCCTTCAAGACCCAGATTGCTCTGTAATGGTCCTTGCCTTCTGAAATAAGGTTCCCCCCTTAGATCTGGATGACTCCCACCCTGATGACATTCTGAAAACCTGTTTAACTCCCTGTTTGAGATGTCCGGAATACAATTTTGTAACCATTTTAATATTCTTTTTGAGCTAATTTTTGTATTTCCTTTTTACATTGTTCCTTATTTTATGAGCCATCCAGAGCTGGTTGTAGCCAGAGCAGAAAAGGCAGAAAAAATTAAAAATAGCTAAAATATAATATAATATTGTGTCCTGTGAAAACATGACTGCCAAAAATGAATTTCAATGTATTCCAGTATAGCTACTTTTGTCTTTCCTTGATGCTATAATAGTACAGTTACTATGTTTCCCCAAAAATAAGACTGGGTCTTATATTAATTTTTGCTCCAAAAGTTGCATTACGTCCATCTAGCTGATGATCTTAACTGGGGCTTATTTTTGGAGTGGGGCTTATATTACAAGTATTCTTTTGGGAAAACATGGTATCTTTCTGCCAATAGACTGAATATGTTATAGACACTTTCTACTAATTAAAACATGATATACCATCATGCACTCACATTGAATGAAATAAACTGGAAGCAGTGACAAAGAATGAATGAAAAACACTGGCAATATAAGTATTGATTCCATACATGCTGCCTTCTCCACAGAAAACATCAAGCCCTATATTTCTGTTTAAGGATTAGGGAAAGAGAAAAAGGGCCCACATCCTACCGAAAATTCATTCAGCTGAACAACAAGGTCACTCATCTGATCCCGAGTCTGGCGAAGCTCCAGGGATTCTCTTTGCAGCTTGTCCTTCATTTTATTCAGTGTCTTCATCATTTCATCTTTCTCTTGGGTTTTTATGTCACATTCTCTTTCTTTCTTTTCTAGCCTGCTCATCAACTCAACATGTTCTACAAACAGTAGAGGGAAAACTAAATGAACACAAGCCAAACCAGAATATGAAATAAATTCAGAAAACCTAACCTATAAAGTGACAAGTGGAGAAAATAGTTTCATTAAAATATTGATGCAGATTACTATAGTTGTATAAAAAAAACTTTAGACTGAAAATCAGAAGGGTTTTTTTTTAATGAGAGTGGTATTCAAAACAGGTAGATCAGACTAATGTTAAAGGACATTATCAGCTGCCCTTCACCATCTGTAAACTGGAAAAAAAGAATACATAGTCTCTCAATGACCTGAGCTTTGTTCTTTGCTAGATTACGTGAAGTTACATGACTAAATTCCATTTTTTTCAATTCTGAAATGACCACATACCTTTCCGGAATTTCTCTGCTTGATCTCGCCATTGTTTCACTTCATTTTCATTTACCAACCTGAATGAAGATAAAACAAGATCATTTAAAGCCCATTACAAAAAATTAAATAGAAATATTCAGAGAAGAATAGGAACATATTAGGAACTAACAGCATAATAAGCTCATTTTCTAAGAAGATTATTGCTGTTAGCCTTTTAGATAATGTTAACTTTCTGCTGCGAAATGTTATAGTATAGTTTAATGCAAATTTTACTGGGCAAAAAGTAGACATTGTTTTGACTAATCTTATCTCTACATAGATGAAACATTATATATGAAGGGGCCCTCATCTTGCATGAATAAAATCCAGTTCCAGTTTTCATGTTTCTTACATCTTAATGATGTTCTTGACATTGAAGTTTTCCAAAGTAGATACATCTGGATCATTGCCTCGTTCATCCTGAAGAACAATTTGCTGCAGTATCCTGTCTAAAAGTTGCCATTGGTGAAATGTTCCCCCATTTCTTTTATCTGCAATCACAAACACCAGTAAGGAAACTTAGAGATCTAATCACAAGACCCTGAAATCAATTCCTTTGAATATTATAAATGAGCACATGTGAAAAATATATTTACAAGTAATTCTCACTTAGTGACCTCAATTGGGACCAGCAACTCAGTTGTTGAATAAAGTGGTTGCTAAGTGAAACTGTGGCTGTGTTTACAAACTTACTTCAGTTTTCCTTTGCTTAGGATTAGTTCTCACTTGATTGTGAACTCAAAATGATAAGAAAATTTGATTTCCCCCCAAAAAATGTGAAATAAAAAATGAATAATACTTACAAATAAATGAATTCCTATTGTCTACCTGCTGTGCTTTTTTATGACTTCCAAAGGAAATTTTATAGAAAAATATTTAAGTAATCTCAAAGGACGAGTATCTATGTGGCCAATAAGTTCCACCTTAGGGAAAATGGGTTTTTACTTACCCAATTAAATTTAATTGAAAACTTGAAAAAAGGGAGAGGAAGAATCTCTAAAATGAAAAACAGAGACTGCTAACTATTCCCTCTTATGTAAGTCCTTTTTAAAATTAAAAATAAACTATTGCACACTTTAGTTCTTGACCTGAGGATTATGGGTCATAGGCTTGAATATTTGAAATAGTCCCTCAATGACCAAATAAGATTTAAAAAACTCCTTCAAGTTACTATTTTTCACTTAAAGCATTTTTTTTATATCCATCGAAACTACCTTCACATGAACTCTGACAAGGCTAGCATATTTTCCCCTCCCTCCCTCTCTCCCTCCCTGTCTCTTACACACACACACACACACACACACACACACACACACACACACACACACACACCACAAATAATTTTGGGGAACAGTTTTGTTAAGTCTGACACTTTGGTTCTTGCCCAACTTTGTTAACTAAACCACAGAGTTGCTGTTATATATGCAACCTCTGCTTGCCAATAATGTTATTTACAACAGGTTGTTTAGTGACTGTACAAAGTTACAACAGCACTGAAAAAATGCTATTATAATCGTTTTTCATGTTGCAGCTTCTCTATGGTCAAAATTCAGATGCTTGGCAACTAACTCATATTTATGACTATTACAAGATCCTGGGGTCATGTATATCACCTCTTGTGATCTTTGACAAGCAAAGTCAATGGGGATGCCAGATTCACTTAATAACCATGTTACTTTAACAACTGCTGTGATTCACTTAACAACTGTGGCAAGAAAGCCCACAACATGGGGCAAGATTCACTTAGCAACACAAATTTTGGGCTCAATTCTAGTTGCAAGTTGACGACTACCTATATATATATATAACTGTTCAGCTTCAGACATACAAACATGAGGCAGAAAAGTGGAGCTAGGAGACCCAGTATGAACAGCTCCACGCTGCATTGATGTGTTGAATGTGTTAAGCCCAAACTTTAAAGGGAGCTGCAAAAGATCAGTAATTGTACATTTGCTCTTAGCACCTTCAATTAAATTTGAATGGCTAACTCCAAATGAAAACAAATTTTATCTAGTTGTTGCTAGATTATTGCATAATTTAATATTCCCAAATTTGTACAATACACTTTAGAGAAATCGCTAATTTGCTTTTCCAATTAGGGCTTGAGAACTTTTTAGTTATCAGTTCCCATGAAATAAGATGGGAATGAAGTATTTTCTGTGAATTTCCCATAGTATTACAAGAGTGTTCATCTGGCCAGTGCTTTGTTTTTCATCAAGATTCTGTGTTAATTAAAAGTGGAACCTGCATATCTCCGACCCTTAACACTAACGTTCTTTCTTGTTCCTTTAAAAAGAAAAAAAAATGTAATGATTTAATCAAGATGAACTTTGTTTCCAGATGGACTTCATCCAACTTTTCTCTTTTTATTGCTTGTTAAACAAGAAATGGCTGCTTCATGTTTGGGGGATCTGAAGTGGGAACAGGAACACGTGCTCTGGGAAAGCCAGCTGTCCACAGGCAAAAAACTCTGTAGTCAGCTAATGTATCTCTACCTTCCTTTTAGTTGTATGGAAATGGTTGAGTCTGAGAAATAATTCATACTGCATGGTCAGCATAGATGAGCAATCAGCTTCCCAGAAGATCCAAATTGTCTAATGAATCAATTTTCAACTTTGATAAAGAATAACAGGTCATATCTTCTTTTCCTGTCTTAGATACAATTGGATGGCATTAGGATCTACTTTGTAGCCACTAAATTAATTTGTATCTGAACTATTTTCTTCTGGACCTCTGAATAAGAGATTGTGGTTCTACTCAGAGAACCTGAGAATGGAGAATCATATTACATCACCAAGCACAACTACTGCACACTAAAAAGAAGACGTATTGATTTATTATAGACCTTTGATTATGATTAAGTGTGTAAGACTAAGTGTCTTTCTATCAAAGATGCATGCCAAAGCAGCTGCTAAGATTGCTTTGGCAACAATGAGATGCCATGTATCTTGCCCTATATGATCAGGAAAAAGAAATTTAAAAAATAAAATTATTTGATTGAAGGAGTATGCTTCACCAATATTTTAATAAGTTGGCCTATTTTTCCAGATCTGAAAATGCTGCTGACTGTTCCATTATGTTAAGAAACCAATTATTTTTTTACAGTTAAACAAAAGACAAAGTTCACCTAAGGAAGTGTAGAGATTTTGATTGTTCTTATGGAAAGATAATAAAAACTGGAAGACAATTTTAAGCAGTTTATGGGAATCGCAAAAGGTGTTTTTTCAAAAGGCAACTGGACTTCCCTTGATTTTCCTTGAAGATGTTTTGCTTCTCATCCAAGAAGCTTCTTTAGTCAGAACTGAAGAAGCTTCTTGGATGAGAAGCAAAACATCTTCAAGAAAAAACAAATAAAGTTCAGCTGCCTTTGGGACAACAATGATCTGGATGTCTGAGAATCTCCATAGATATGGGAATATAGTCTATAGGAATGTAGATTTTCCCCTTGCTATGTATCTCTCTTTAAATGCAAGGCTTACAGATTCTACCAAAACCTTTATCCTCCCTGCTTTGGAGAGAGAAAATTATACACAGCAGTGAATATCAGAATAGTTTCAGAAAATATTAATTTACCTTCCTTTCCCCAAAACACTATAATGGGAAACTTTACTAAAAATATACCTCTACTTTCTCTTCCCATCTAACTCTCCACTGCACATAGCTTTCTAACTCTTCTCCCACCTTCCTTGGGAGAACTAAAGGAGACACTCTGTCTGCTTTATTTTTCGCCTTAACCAATATCCAAATCTGTAAAGAAATTTAATAAAACTTCAGTTTTTGATTCAGCTTTTGCTGCTTCTGACAAACTCTGTCACATGGGAATATCTCTTGAATCTATCCAGATCAGCTTCATTTTAGGATTCAAAGAAAGCTGAAAAACATTCCTACTACAAGGAACTGGAGAGCTGCTAGCTCAAGAAAACCTTTTTGCCATTTTGTTCTAGTAAGATGGCTTCATCCTTTGTTGTAATAGTATAATGTTCTAATACCACAATGAAGTGACATTACAGTACAAACATTAATGATTTTATTTGTTTGTATCTCAAGTTTATTTTTACAAATAACTTGAGACAGCGAACACATCCAACAAACTTTCCACTTCCTATTTTCCCCACAGCAACAACCCTATGAGATGGTTTGGGCTGACTAGCCAAAAGTCACCTAGCTGTTTTTCACAGCTAAAGTGGGACTTGAACTCATGGTCTCCTCATTTCTAGCTTAGTGCCTTAACCACTAGACTAAAGTAGCTAGTGGTAATGTAGTAAAACATGGTAACAATCTAACATACTGTATTATGAAATTAGAAAGGGGATACATTTTTGGCACCAGCCTCATGGATCATTAGTTCCACCAGCTAACTTTCTTCTTACATATCCCAGCATTTTCCTTTGACTGCGAGAAGAAATGATCTACTCACAAGGCATTTGTAAGCAGTGCTGGAGTACAGACAGTAAATAGGGGTAAGCATCTGTGTGCTTCAACCTCTTCTTGATCAGCTCAAACATCTGCGAGGCGCTTTTTGTGTCAATATGTACCTACAACAGAATACAGAGAAAGGCAAATAAAAATTATAATAAAACATCATTGTGAGGCATATTTTAGACAAAGAAGCCAATCATGCAACACATACATTTCAGTGTGTAAAAAGGTGAGCAGAATAAGATGACAATATATTAGTTTGTGGAAAACACCTGTCACCATCTATGCTCATCAAGATACTGAAAGTTGAAACCCACTTTCTTGTTTAAGCCTTGCATTTTCTGTATCGTGTCATGTCTGCATATGAGAATAAAATGCACATTTTAAAAAGAAAATAATAATTTGTGACATTTTTTAAACTCAGTTCAGTTATTGGAGAGAGTGCTGTTATAAGACCCACACCAGCTAGAATGCTATTCAACACTGGGATGCCTATTTAATGGTGGATCCATTCACATCTACCAGGTTATTACCAGAAAGAAAAGAAAGTATCTTACTACATTCTAGGTAATTACTACAAGCTGTCACAATTTATCTTTATTTTTGTTACGGTCAGAGTTACCTAATCTAAAACAAGCCATTAACATATATTAAGAAGGGATGCACAAAATTCATCAGTTTGGGAATGGAATGGCCTAGCTAATTAGGGAAATATCAATTTACTTCTGGAATACCAGTGGTTTGATGATTTCTGAAATATATTTTTCAAAGAAAAAGTTATGTTGTGTGTCTAGTGTTGTGGACAAAATGGATTCGATATACTCCAGTAATGCTCCCTGGATTAACAAATTTTTCCAGTCACTAATATTAAGCATGCATATGTTACTTCTGCTATTAAATACTAGATAAATAATTGGGAAAATATCTATACTAAAAAAGAACATACTGTTACAAACCAGTAATTGAATCTATTGTGGTTGTAATAAGAAATATGTAAAATTGGATAGGCTTCTGAAAAAAAATACTATTAGCATGTTTCCTTTTTTTCATACCCTCAGAATAGGTGACATTCATATTGCTCTGCTCACAAACCTATTATAGAACACTTTTTCATTATACAGCATATTTATCTTTTTACCTTACCTGATAAAGTATTTGGTAACTTTTATATTCTACTCTATTACTATTATTTGAAAACCTATCCCTATTTTGATGTAAATCAACATTTTACTGGACTTACAGCTGATACCAAATGTTGGTTAGGTCTACAGTGTCTGTCTATTAACACTATAGTGATGGGAGCTAGTAGTTATGGGATACATTCATAATGTTAGAACATGTCCTAGCCTTTGTAGAAAAGAAGCAATAAGTGCAATCATGTGAATAATCTCAGTGTAGTGCAGTGCAGTGTGGCTTTGATATACTGAGTGCTTGTTTAGATCTTCTAGGCTTCATATTAAAAAAAAAAAAGGGTCTCCATTGAGGACTAAAGGGCTGGGCTGCAGCAGGTGCTAGCTTCAAAGAGGAGTGAGGAGCTGTCCATTGCAATCCTAAGATTCATGGTGCTGAATCCAGCACCAGAGCTAAAGCCCCTTAAAATATCAATGGATAGTACTTGGCGATATCAAGTTAAAGCTGTGTGAAATTGGAACAGCAAATATACAAACACCCACATTGTAGAAACATGTTTTACCCCACAAAAATCCATCTTAGGTGGTCAAAGCCTAAGAGCAAAAATAGAAATAGAACTTCACAACATAGAAGTGGTCCTCAACTGACGAGTGCAATTGACCGCAAAATTTATGTTATTGAGACATTCATTCATTGAGTTTTGCCCCATTTTATGACCTTTCTTGCCACGGTTGTTAAATGAATTATTGCAGTTGTTAAGTTAGTATCGTGATTATTAAGTGAATCTGGCTTCCTCATTGATTTTGCTTGTCAGAAGGTTGTAAAAGTTGATCACATGACCCCCGGGATACTGCAATGGTCATAAATATGAAGCAGTTGCCAAGCACCCGAGTTTTGATCACATGGTCATGGGAATGCTGCAACAGTTGTAACTGTGAAAAACAGTTATACATCCCTTTTTTCAGTGCTATTATAACTCTGAACAGTGACTAAACAAACTGTTGTAAGTTGAGGACCTGTTAAGAGGGCAAATCTAAAACAGAGGCAAAAAAATGTAGTAGAAAAGGACTCCAAGACATTCAGTGTCTTTTATTCCCTAAGTGAGCAAAGCATATTAAGCAATATGGACCAGCAATCTATTGATAACCAAATATTCCTAAAATCCAAACTATAAATGCATGGAAGATCAAAAATCAAATTGAGGCATTTAAGCCATCACTGGCCATAATATTCCAGTTAAATGATAGGCTCTTGACAAGGTCTGAATTAACTTATCACCAGATAACTTTTTAAAATAATACTTGTTATACTTTTTATTCTGTATATAAGAAAGAAAACTTCTCATTTTTCTTTAGTTATATAAAAACCATGTCTTTGTCCCACAGAAAAATCTAGTATATTTATAGTAGTAGCTAAGGCAAACTAACATTTTTTAGCAGCAAAAGCTTTCTAGGAGAACACTCACCATTTCAAACCTCTTTGCAAGTTCCAAGTCATCTTCATTTCGAACCATCTCAAAGAAATCTAAATGCCTAGAGGAAAAATAAACATTTTCATCCTATATGTTATTCATAATGATATGAACTCAGTTGGAATTAGTTTCGAAATTTGATATGCTGCCCTTAAATCAATGTGGATTGAGGGGGCCTATATTCGGATATGACTTTCATGATATAATAAAAAACAAAACCAGATCAATGTGCTTATTTAAATTTAAGCATAAGGCAGATGATATCTTGAAAATCTGAAACTGCTGTTTGAACCACAGAACAGGACCGAGAGATAAGTAAAAGTTATAACAGTTGGCATCAACTGAGATAATCGACTAAGGATTAACATTAAATATGTAGCATGCAGATTTATTTATCCTTAGAGAGAACTATAATGACAACCACTACATGTTAGTTGGCAAGTCTCAATTCTTCCTGTCTTAATATTTGCAAAATTGTCCCCCAGCCCTATTTTTTAACATCTCTGGATTTATTTATTTTTTAAAAAACCCTGGTTGGAAGAAGAACTGTTTTCCAATCTACATTATCTCACTCAAGCTGCTGCACATTTTCAGACTTCAAGTGGAAAGGGGGCAATTGTCCCTGTATATTTAAATCGTGCAGTTCATTTTATGATTGAGTTCATTTTATTTACATCCGTTTCCAACTTGCATGATAACTGCCATAAACATCAAGTAGGAATGTAACATATGACTCAAACATAAAATATTACCAGGACAATGAGAAATATCACAACATTGATTCAATTAAAAGCCTGGCTGAACAAATAAGATTTCAGCTGATGACCAAAAGTTTAGAAGACTTGATACCAACAACAAATGAAATGGTAATTCCATAGTCAAAGCATCTGCATTAAGAACACCTTTATACATTCTAGCAAACACACTGTCAAAATAGCATCCTTCCCTACTAGACTAAGGAATAGGCTGGCCTGCAAGTAATAACCTCCAAAAGCTCTGCAGGTCTTTGCTCAGACTCAGTGCAATCTTTATGCAATAATTTTAAATTCCGCTAAGTAGCAAACTTTGGAATCACTAAAATATGTTTACAGTAGGTTGCTCCCTTCAACAGTCTAACTGTACTATCCTGTACCAAGTGTAGTTTCCAGACCAGTTGAAAGGCAAACCTGCTCAAAGCATGTTGCAATAGTTAGTTCTAAGGAGGGAAATTCCGATAGTTTAATGTCCATGTGTCCATGTACACAGTGTACATATTCATTAAGTTCCCATGCATTTAATAACCCTCCATATTTAGTAGGACAGAGTCTGTTGGTATCCAAACCATACCGATTCCTCAGGAAGCAGTACAATATATTCATAAAACATCAGTTATGTTGTGCTATAGCTGTACATTGAAACTTTTGGTGTCAATTATGAGGTGCCAGAATATATACTGTACATTATCTGATCTGGAATATATTTTTCTTTAAATGGCCATGATACACTATATTAAACTGAGTTAGAAGACTAAGCTGTATTTGTCATTACAACATAGCCTTGCTCCCCACATTTTGTTTCACCTGTCCAATGTTGCATTTTCATGTCCTCTGAGCTTGTCAATAACAGGCTGAATACCCAGCATTAGAAACTCATATCGTAGGTGCAGTCGGAATTCCAAGTTGTCCTAAAAAGAAGAGAAAAAGAAAAAAAAAGCCCTCAGATTCAAGTTTTGCAACGAGAGGAAAATATAGCTTAGAGAACTTAGAGAAGAATTAATTATGCCACAAAAATCTGCCAGTTATTTTGAGTACAACAGAGAGCAAAGGAAATTCAGTACATACACTCACCTCCCCACTACCTGCATTCAATACAGCATTAATAAAGGACATGATGGCTGTTTTGAGGTTCACTTCATCACGATATCTCCCCATGCTTCGGTCTAGCTCATTGAGTAGAGTCTGTAAAGCAAGAGGAGTGACAAGGTAGTAATTTATTTATTTATAATTAAATAAATAAAGCTCCAGAAGTTGTGGGTGCTCCAACACTGGAGATTTTTAAGAAGAGATTGGACAACCATTTAAGAGGAGGTTGGACTAGAAGATCTCCAAGGTCCCTTCCAACTCTGTTTTTCTGTTATTCAGGTGGACTGGACAAAACTACATTATAGGATAATTTTTTCAGAGGGATCTATTCTACTATATTTCATATTTCTTAACTGCCAATTTCTCTTGGAGAGAAGCTTTGGGCAGTGTAGAATAAATTCTCTCTGGAAGGTTATTTCTCATTATCTCATTTGATATTATGGCATTTCACCTGGATCTCAAGCCATCATCCTTCCTTCCTTAATATATTTTGCTGCCTCTTTTTAATAAAAGCAATGTTTCCCAAACTTTTCTTTTATACAGAGCCCTATGTTATCAAAAGCTTTTATAGATTACCCTATAAACAGAGCACCTTTGGAAACAGAGCACCTTTGAGCCTTCCCAAATGGCACCTGCTGTTTTAAATTTGAAAATAACCAAAATCATAAGATGTTCAGATGCCCAGTGGGTTTGCGTAATAAGTTGAAACTAGGGTTCACACAATACTGTGTATGATTTTTAAGCCAGATGTAATCAACTGGATAGCTTTAAACAACTGTGGTGGCACAGTGGTTAGAATGCAGTATTGCACGTGATTCTATCCACTGCCAGAAGTTCAATCCCTACCATCCATCCTTTCAAAGTTGGTAACATAAGGACCCATATTGCGAACAATATGCTGATTCTGAAAACTGCTTAAAGAGTCTTGTAAAGCACTATGAAGCAGGATATAAGTCTAGGAGCTATTGCTATTTATTTATTCTTTTATTCCATTTAATCTCCAATCATTTCTTCCTGCATTAGGTCACTATGGATTGGGTTGGGTTTGGCTGTACCTGTTTTGTGAGAACCAAGCTACTATGGTTTGTAAATATGACTACAACAATGTATTATATATCTCAGTTTATTCTCTTCAATAACAGTAATTAAGCAAATCAGTATTGCTAGTTGTCTGCTTTATCTTTTTTTCTTTGCTGTTTCTGTATAGCATTCTTGGATTGTGCCTAAACAACATGATGTATTTCATTCCATTTAAATTTAGAATGAGACTTCAGTGCAAGGATAGGTAAAATGGTACCCTCCACCTCAAGCCAATGTGGGAGTTGTATTCAAAAACATCTGGAGATTATCTATCCCAACTCTGGAGGGTAGCCTATGTACTGTTATCCTTTTAATGCTCAGCAATCAACCTTGAAGTGAGATATTTCCTGTTTGTTTAAAAAAAATGATGGCTTACTATCCAGAGGATCTTGGGGCTTACAATGTAACTGTTGGCTTTTTCCCCAGAGTAGGTCTTATTTTCAGCATAACAGCCCATATGTTAGGGAGTGTTCACACTATATTATTTTCTCCCTTGTAATAGAAATAAATTCTTCTTCTCTTTCTCTTTAGACATATAATCACGCATGCTTTTTGAAATTGAAAGCATTAGCTGAGTTCTTTGTTCCCACTTATTTGTGTATGTTTGAGGTAGCCAACCTATATTAAGGACCTACAATAGACATTAAAATCTACATTATTAAGTCTTTGAGGGATGATTTGTGCTAATCATTCTTCAAGTTTAAAGAATAATACACTGATGAAAGCACTATTGTAAACATCTGTTGTGTATGTATAAACTATATATCAATGAATAACTCTTCATACAGGCATCTGTAATACATGTTCACATACATGTATTTATATACATATGTAAAAAGGGGGATGGTTGGCCATGCTGACTAGAGCTGAAGAGAATTATGCTAACTGCTTAATAAGAGAATCACTAGAGTGGAAGAAGATGTTATATGGCCATATTCACTTTATTCATCTAGGAAAGGAAAGAGTTTCAAATATTTTCCCCTTAAAAATATTAACCCACAATTTCCTCTTCAATCTGAGACCAAGAAAGCCAAAAGAAATTCCTTCTATTCAGTGTCTTCACTGCTTTGTTATTTTGGCTGAGAGGATTTTTCATCATTATTTTTTACTATTTAGAAAGAATGTTAATAACACTTTTGCTGTCAGTACCAAATAGCCACTTGTAAAACATCAGGGCTGATGTTTGAAGCTGAATGGTAATATCTAAGGGAAGAGGCGGGGAGACCTATGATGACTGACCGGAATTAACTTAACTCAGCAAGTTTCAAACCCTGTGGAATATTCCATTCTCTGGGAAAATCTAAATGCTATTGCCTAGATGACAGGAGGCATTTCCTCCTAAAATGTCAATAGGGAGTTAAAGGATTTGCAAAGCTTTGGTTATAAATATAACATTAAAAATGAGAGGTATCAATTATACATTCTTTAGCAATGATGCTCTCTCTATAATATACATAAGGTATAATTGCTACAGCTGAATATTGTGAAGATACTTTTCTGATAAAATTTCTATATGTTTCTGATAAAATTTCTGTATGTTTTTTAACTAGCCCCTTATCCAGAAAACTATGTGAGTGTCATCATTCCTCACAATTCTCTGTCCATACTTTGGGTAAGAAGTTAATCCAAATCTCAAAACATTTTTAGATAATTGATTTAGAGCACTATCATATCAACCTTTTGGGGGTGACTAAGTGTTTTGTTTTCTCCAATAACTGCTGGATTTTAATCACAGAAATCTGATAAGCATTATTACATGAATATTCATAGTGATAGAAGCAGCCAAAGTAGATTTAACTTTGAATCTGTTATGCTAATGTCAGCACATACTAATTAAGAAATTAGTTTTTCCCCAAGTTATTTTTATTTACTTTTAGATTGTTTGAGAGAGAGAGAGAGAGAGAGAGAGAGAGAGAGAGATTAAGACAATGAATTTCTAGTTCTAGTTTTTCATTTCACTGTTTCATGAAATTGTGAAATGCTCCTATATATACATACATATACAATGTTCTAAGAGCAAATTCCTATATCAACATAAAACAAAGTACCTGGCTCCAAGGCTACTTTGACATACATGTACTCTGCTATATCACAAACAGAGATATTCAATATTTGGATCTGTAGGAGGAAATATGCTTTGGATCTGGCATGAGCATATTTCCTGTACCTGTCACTGGTTCTTTAAACAACTCTAGGAAAATAGATGCCTGAATTAAGGAAGTGACAGAGAAATGATGCATAGTCTATGTAATTCCTTAAGGCCTCCTTAACTGAAAAGTATATTATCATAATGAACTGTAGGAAAAGAAAAAGTTTCTTTCAGGAGCTCCTGGCCACTACACTGAGTTCTTCCACACCGGATCCAAAATCCTCTTCCTGCTTTCAGTCCAAGTATTGCATACCCGTAATTGCAGAATTCTAACCACAACATCTAGACTCAGTTTTCTGAGTATCATGACAGTGTTTCCAAAAACAAAGCAAATTAAGTAAATATACTCAGCATTCAACATTCAGGCTATGAGGCATCCTATGAATTGCTCTGTTACTACTTCTCCACATTTGGTTCACATATTCAGGTACTTATTTCAGTCCACATAGTCTTCCTAAGCAATTTGAAGTACACAAACTTATATCAGGGAAAACCTGACTTCATAATTTTGTAATATTAGTAATATTACTGCTAAAAGAAGTGTTAGGACAAATGCAGTCAGCAGGGTACCATGGGCTCACAGCCCTGCCCGATTATATATTTTGAGGTTATTTCAGCCAGTCAATAAATACTTGGGAAGCTACTAAGTCACAAAACTTGTGGCATCACTTTGATTTACAAAAACACCTCTTGGCCCCATTTTTATTCTAGGAAAAGATAGAAAAGGTGGATAGCTGTCTATCTATTCAGAAAAGATAAAAGTTGAATTGGTGTAAAAAGCCTAGAAAGGAGGGTGGAAGAGAAGCTTCAGTAGTTTTACTTCCTTTCCTTTTTCCTGAAAAACAATTGGTACATGATTGATCATTTTATGCCAGCCGCTCTTCTGCCTCTAGCTCAGCGCGCTGTATCAAAATTCTCACAGTGAGGAATTCATGTATTATTGATTTCATAAACTAGGTGAAATAATTCTCTTGAATAGTAAAGATATGGAACAAATATTATTAAAGTTATTAAGCTATTAAACAAAATAATGCAGAGAAGACCCTAGACTTGCTCAGTATCAATTACTGAAACGCATTCCAAGTAGGCAATGCCCCATTTTAGTTGATTGGGAAAAGAGTAATGCTCATCCTGTTTTATGCAGAGAACCAGCTCTACAGGTCATTTTGCTCAATTCATCATTTTTACCTGGAATCTTGTTCTCTCCGCTGCGTAGACTTGGTAATGGAGCATGGCCTGCAGAACTTTTTTGTGGCCTCCTGGCACTAAGCAAACAGCCCCAAGGATCTCCAGCACAGCAATCTTGGTTTTGATGTTCTCAGTCCGTAAGCTTTGCGAAATTATATTGATGCTTTCCGGGTGGGCTAGAACATGGGCTCGTCCTTGGGAGTTGTTCATCAGAGCCTTGATGCATCCTATAACGGATGTGTGTATACGACTTTCAGAGGTTTCATAGTCCATAGACTTCAAAAAGTTCAGCAAGCAGCTCAGGCCATCCAGCTCAATAAATCTTACTACAAATCTGTCCAGAGATAGGAAAGAAAAAGACAATTAAGGCACTTTGCATAAATGGTGTCAGAATAATAAAATTGTCTTTTCTCTTAATTTGGAAAACTCTAAAGTGTACATAGTTGAGGATCTGGATAATTTTTTTTTACATTTGCCCTTTTAAAGGCAGATGTGTATGTGGAATAAAATTTGTTCAGCACTTTCTGCTTTCTTCTACAAAGAGACATTGCATTATGGACCCAACACCACACATTTAAAGGACTTGAAATAACATAATTTGAAAAAGCAATGATTCATTTGACCTAAACAAAACAATTTCCACAAGGATAAATGTTTGAGCGATACTTGCTATCCTCTTCCCAAAGCCATTTCACCTTATTAAGAGCATGCGCCTTTTCTCCTATACAAGCATCCTCTTTCTATACCAGAAAATAACTAACATGTTAGTCGGTTGTTTGGCTGAAATACTGATGGACTTAAGCCCGACAAACTATTTGATTTTGTTTTTCTTTGCTGAGGCATGAAAATCAAAGAATATCCAGTATATTTTATATATTACCTAAAGTTCAGTTTTCTGTCAACAAAAAATGAAAATTAAAAACGTACTAAATTGATTTTAAATTGCATGTCATCTACTAAAATAGATAAAATACCATTGCCCACTATTTACATATTGTTATATTTTACTTATTTATGAGGATATTAAATCTATAAAGTTGCCACTGGCTGAAAATTCTCTTTAGAATATGCTTCTTTACAAATAAAAAAATGATTATGTCCTCAATAGCCAAACCCAAGGGAAAAGTCTATATTTGGATCTTTATTTAAACTAGCCAGTATTCCCTGAGATCTCAGTTAGAAATATGGCTATTGCAATCGTGAAATTATACAAACAGTTACCTATGAATGTAGCTCAAGAATTTAAAATAGGCATTTCTCCAACCATACTATGTACCTAATAAAGTGGAAAAGTGAAAAAAAAATCATACTACTCCTAGGATATACAAACAAGAGAAAATAAGAGAAAATTACTTATTGACACTTAAAATATCTGTCTGGAAACAAGGCACCTTGTTTTAATTCAAGTGTACTGGCTTCTAATTTGTTTCCAGGTACAACTCAAAACATTCAAGATGACAGGTGCTGATGGTGCACTTCTTGGGGTTAAATGATATCATGAGAGTCATAGAGTCCACTGATCCCCCAAACAGCCTTCTTAACACTTCAACATTATATTAAAATAGTATCTTTTTAAAATGGTTCAAACCCTGCAAGATGGCTACATCCCAAAAGTTCCCCAATTCATTCTTGCATCTTAAATATACCATACAGGAATGCTGAAATTTCAGGTATATTTGACAATTTGGGAGGGAGAGGAAAGCCTCAAGCTCCATAGGCAGTTATGCACAGAATCTGAAAAGGTAGCATCATGATGTGTGAAGGACCAGTTTCTCCAAAATAAATCTGCCCTGCATATCAAGATTTCCCTTGCAAATTCTAAGTCTCCTATGAATTCCTACTTTGCATGAGAGAGATTTTTTAATAGTTATATAAACAATTTAGAATTCTACTTGGGAGACACATTTGTTCACCAACAATCTTCTAGAAACTGCTGATGGCCTATTTTTAAGAAGGCTTTTAGTTGTAATCCTCTTTACTGTTTTTATCACATGCTATTTTTATTATATGCTATTGAAAAATATTTGTTTGCTACTCTGTTTTCCCTCCTGCTATCATCTGTTTTCTGTTTCTATAATTTAAAATGATGTATGTTTTACTTTGATTTGTTGTAAGCCCCCTAGAACTCTGCGGAATACACAAACACACACACACAAAAAAAATCTCTCTCCCTCTCTCTGTCTCCCTCTCTCTTATAAATACTTTTAAAAACCCAAGTAGTATTTAAATTTGTTCCATACGCTACAACAAATGGAAACTTTACTAATCCTGATCTTTCAAGATTTCATTGTTTCTGTTTCACTGTTTGCAATCTGTAATATTTTCCTGCATCATTATACAGTAATACTATATAGATTTAAGAACATGGATAGCCATCAAACCCAACCTCATGATACTTGCTACTGATGCAGAGATGGCTATACCACTCGTAGAACTGAATGGCTGAGCTTTCATTTGCCACTGCTACTTGAAGGAGCTGCTTCAGTGTACTTAAACAAGACGAGATAAGGCATGGCCACTTTATACAGACCTACGAGAAAGGAGTTAATAATCTGGGAAAGGAATCCCTGCTGAAAGTTTCTGCAACACACAATCAAAAAACAGTTTGAGCAATAATTTTTTTTGTTGGTATAGTGTACAATTAAATTTGTGGTACGGGATGCAAAAATGGAAGACTTTAAAATCATAGACTCACAGGGCTGGAAGGGACCTTGGAGGTCTTCTAGTCCAAGCCCCTGCCCAAGGCAGCAGTCCTTATACCATCCCAGACAAACAGTTGTCCAATCTTTTCTTGAAACTTCCAACAATGGACCATCCAGTTTAAGATGATAAAAATCAAAATGTCAAGCAAACCCAATCAGACAAACATCTTCGAGACTTTTTGGACTCTTAATGCAAAACTTTATTGAATACACCATATCGGCACATATAAAAGTAAAACCAGCTCTGGCAAGACCCCACCCAAATCACTATAGTAAAAGCATTGATTTCTTCCTCCTTCCTCTGGGTCAAATCATATTGCCCAATCAAGTTGAAAAATATTGTTGTGAGAAGCACGTCTAGGCTCAGCCAGAAACCTTGCAATTGTCCTTAGTTCCCACAGTGTGCTTTTTAAATCTTTGAAGTCTGCATTCCAAACTTCTCCCCCCTCCCAACTTGTTGGCAAGTTGAGAAGCAATGTCCATTGTACCAGCACAAAAACTCCACAAATATGCCTTGTCAAATTCAAATTTGTGCAACTGACAATATATCTCTTATAGTCTAAAGTAGTCTATAAATCCTTAGCCTTGGAATAAATAAAACATAAATGAATTGCAAAAAAAAAAAAAAATGGTACCGAGAGGTACATTTTAAATGGCCTGCAGCAGAACAAAAAAAATCAAATCTAAGATGGAACCAATACAATTTCCATGAAACAACCATAACTGTGGAAATATGCAGGTCTGCTTCATATATTTGGAGTTTTAAAATTTGGCACAAATCGTGTGGCTCCCAATATCACATCACTTTGCAGTATTTATTTAAGAGAAGACCATAAAACAATATTGTTTATAAATTTTACTTGAGCTTCCAATGCATACGCATAAAATATATCCAACAATAGAAATCTGGAATAACTATATTTCATTTGTAAAGGGGAATCAGAGAAACTATGTAATATTTGGGGCAGATTTCTCATGTAGCTTATATCTTTAGTAACTTTATCTCACTAGTTGAAGGTCTGGAGAAAATCAAAACCTTACAGAAAATATCAAGAGATTCAGTTTGAGGTTTGATACCTGTTCAAGCCTAAATTTTAAAATTAGTCTTTGCGAACAAACACAATTTAAGAGCAAACACATACCACAAATGGTTAGAAAATGCATTTAATGGCCAGGATATGAAATTCACTTTGGGATAGCATTCTTTCCAACCTTCATTGGCATAAGCAATGAAAGAGCGTGAAGATGGCAATGATTTGCTTCTCTATTCTTTGTTTTGGCTTTCATGTTCCAGGATTGCATTTCTCATTTCCCAAAAAGGTAACTGTTGCTTTGTGTGACTTATAGTCTTGGCACTTAAGTAACATTTTCATCTTAACATTTCTTTGCTGTTTTTCACCTATGGATGGGTTTTTAGATGAGGAAAAACATTATTCAGTGCTTTTCAGAGAGGAGAAAAATCTATTTGAGGAAAACTTAACACAGCCAAGAAAAAGTTATGATAGAATGGTTTTCTTTCCCATCTAGTAAACCTTTCAAAGGGGACCTGGCTTCAGTGCCCTAAACAAAGCATTCTTTCAAAACTACTTTGCACGACAACATTCCCCCTGCTTCAAAGGAGAGGGCACACAACAGTGGCATTTGGTGTTACCTTCTGGGGTCTCATCCAGAAAATCTTCAGTCCTTGAAAACCCAATAGGCAACGTGCCCACTTGGGAGTTATTATTTCTGCAATTCTTGGAAAACCACTGATTCTCCCTCTGTGTTTTGTTCTTATTTTTCTTCTAGAAAACTGTAAGACTTTGATTGAAGCACTTAGCTTGGATATTTCTATACATTACAATTATTCTACATGCTCTAAAAACTAGCTGCATTTGCATATTTTGGCAAGTCATCATACAGATTTTTTTTAGGATCCAATCTGGGTCAGTTTTTTTTTTAACTTTTGCTCTGTTTTGTGAACCCAACCATTGCAATTTGAACAATGCTGCTCCTAGTCCAACAAATGACACCTATAGTTGATTCAACAATTATAGTCAAGCATGAGTCTTGAAATTAAATTTATGTTTAGCTTAGATAAAAACATATTTAGTTTTTGCTTACTCCTATCCACTTCTTGGAATACAGCCACCAGCATACACTCACAATGAAACCCTAGTCTAACAAAGTTTGTGCACTTTCTGCTATAGAATAAGACAAATCCACTGCGTTAATTTTGATATATGTTTTAAAGATGAGAACACGGAGAAGAAATTCTATAAATCAAAAAAATGTGAGGATTTTCCCCAAACAATAGAATTTTCAATATATGGGTGGGGCAGTTGAATGTACCTTCATACAATGGATACATGAAAAACAAACATGTCAAGAAAAAGATTCTAATATAGCATTTTCTATGACATCTTGATTTTCTATGGGCAAGGGAAAAAAAACCTTGTTGTCCAATTTTGAGACACCCCAATCCGTAGACTGAAGTTATTTAATCCAGAAGCAGGCCTTATTTGGAAAAACACCTGCTTTTTATGGACACAGGATTTAAAAATGTCCTACAGATGTCATAGTTCTGACAGATGAATCTCTTCAAAAGAACTTCGAGGCATTGTTTTCCTTAAAGAATCTTTTATTCAAGAAACAAAGTATCGGCACTGCATAGTTGAAGCCAAAAATTGAATTCCCCTCCCCTGGCATGAAGTAGCAAAGTGCAATTCCCTCCTCCAATTAACAGTCATAAATCACATTCCCCAATTAACTTGAAGCATGGGCTTTCTCCACATCTCTCCTGCCCGCCAAATTTCTATCAACTCTGGATCTAATAACCTTGGGTTCCCATGACTGAGTTATTATTGTTATGACTAGCTGGACTCTCATCCACATTTCCCCTTCCATCATCAACGAACTCTAAAAGTGATAGAGAAAAGATGGCTACATTTCCATCTGTTGTCAAAGCAAGAACATCCGATGTTAGCAGCATTGACTACAGAATCATTTTTCTGAGTTTCATTCCTATCACTTTCTGTGGAAAAGGAATGTCATAATTGCCCTGCACACCTTAAACCTAACTGGCAGCTGCTATTCCATTCCATTTTTACTTCCAATATTATGATCAAGGAACATGTTCACCATTGAAAAATCCTGGTCTTATATCCCACCTAAAATATGGATTGAAATAGGCTCCATCTACCAGAGGTCATCAGAAGAATAAGAATACAAAGGCATGCTAAAAATAAAACACACATTTTCCAATGACTTTTTTTAATCAGCTAGTTGATGGAAACATTTCTTGGCTAAAAGAAAACAAGTTTTCTTGATACTTTGCCATTTTGCTCACTCTTTAACAAAGATACAGCTACGTTCTCCCTATTCTGTTTAGAACTTTTTCTTTTCAACAACATCCTGACTTGCCAAGGTAACTGATGGTTAACAGAAACTGTAGTACAAATTTTCTGTTGTGTTTCAAAACTGATATTTTTACAATCATAGTTGCTGATGGTTAAAACTGACTCACAAGGAAATCTTCACTTTCTTCCAATTGTTTCTTACATGTTATTGTCAGGTCTTCCCTAAGCAGTGTGACTGAATGCTTTGTAACTGCTGAATTGGCTCTAATTGCTAAACCATTTCTATAGTTCAGTGGTTTAGACTTGGAGATATGTACAATGGCTACTATTACAAATCAACTTTATTGTAAAAAAAATCTACCTTTTAAAGCAAAGGATCCAATCACTTTACAGAAACACATCTGAGTTCAAGTTGGACTTTTCTTACAAAGGAAAAAGACTGTTCTATTAATATGGTGCCTCTTGTAACCACCATGTAACCACCATCTGAAAGAACAGTGGAATTTCACTAAATACACAGGAGAATCCCTCATATTATTTCTAGAATATGGCCAGTTACTTGCATGCCCAAGTTCTTCTTACTTTAGAGACGTCACTGAATCAAATAAAAATGAACAAGTACAATCAACAGTTATAAGTGATTTGTCTTGACGAGTAGCAAAGTCCCTTGAAAAACTGTGACTTTCTACCTCAAGGCACAACAAGGCACTAAGGCAGAGATAATTTGGATCATAATTCTTACTAGATTAAGTAGGTATGGTGTAACCTTTTCTCTCTGTGTATGGCACTGTTTATTTAGCTAATTTGCATTGGATTTTGGATAAAGCAAGGTGAAGATCTACACAGCCATAATGTCAAGAACATCTCTGGACCAAATGTAGAAAAGCCTTGGAAATATTTGGTGTAAATTCAAAATTCAGCAGCTAAGTCACTTGAAAGGCTTGTATGAGATATACAGGAAGTTTACCTCCTCCCTTTATATTAAGTTTTCTACCACTGATGTCCAAGGCTGATGTTGTAAATAGGAGAGGTTCTGCAGATGTTTAATATGTTGTGATTATTTCTGAGCTACAAATGAGGTGTCCAAAGTGCAAAGTTTAACTTCTCTTTGGCAAAGAATGATACAAACCTAATTACAATGGAATCAGCTAGAAAGCTACATAAACACATCATAAAATTAACTTTATGGGTGAGTTTATGCCATAAACATATTATATTTTGTAAGATATTCAAATATGAACACTAAAGCAAGTTTACTGCTCCAGGTTCAGCCAGAGATGTGATTATAAGGCTTTTGAACTGGCATTACAAAACAACAACCATACTTTTTTGGTTCCAAGACCAGTATCCTGAGGGACTTTTTATCAAAGAGGACTGGATAGAGCCACAAGGACCTCTATTTTCCATTAAAGACTGAACTGGCTTAGGTAATGACTGTTGGCATGTAGTCAATCCTGCAATAAGCAAACTGAGTCTCTGGAATCAGTTGAGCTATGAGACTTAACTTGAAATTTGGCTTGGCGATTGCTAAAAAAGAAAGAAAGGAAAAAAAAAAGGATAAGCCCTCAGGGCCGCAGCCAGCAATTTAGAAGCAAAGACTTTATGTGATACTTTGTGGCTGCTGCTGCTGACACTCATTACAGCTGTTATAAACAAAGGAAATAAATGCCTGCTGTCAGAAGTCTTTAGCCAAAGTAATGCTGGACTTATCTGGAAAAAATTCCAAATGAACTCCGAAAGGTTTCAGAAAAAAAGCCTGTCCTGTTAGTAATGTCTTTTCTGGCATGATGGAAAAGGATGATAGGAAACTATATATAGTATACACTTACATTTTAGCATGGCAAGTAGAAAAATTGTCCACACTATCCACTGCATATTATGAAATTGGGACAAAAGAGGTTGATGAGACTGATTAATAAGTACTGTACAATATTTTTAAAAACCTTACATTAGCAACAGAAGAAAGCATGTTTGGTTATGTCTTCTGTGATTTCTCCATCTCTGATATACAGAAAGATTCTATCATGGAAGTACTGAACCAAAATGAAGAGCAATTGTTTTATTTGACTACAAATCTCTGTGCAACTCTAGTGATTAATGCAGAAAACTAAAAGCAGATTGCCTAATATTTTATGCTTCGCAATTCAAGATTCTACTGGATGAGATTTATCCTGTGCAACAAGTGTTCATAGGCTGCACAAATGGAATTTAACAGGAGTTCAGATTATAGCAACTTCAATGTACAAACTTCCCATATTGTCCTTCTATTTCTCTCATTTCACTTTTCTCCTCTCCTCCCTGCCATTCCCCAAAGCCCCCAGATGGATGAATGAACAGACAGACAGGTGCATATGCCAAACTAAAACAAGCCAAGGATTTGTGGAAAATTATTTTTAATGTTGGTTAATATATATTAGAAGCTCAGCATTTCACAAATTATCCTGAAATCCTGAAAGGCTTTAAGCCCAGATGACTTTGGCAAGAGATTTAAACAATGTGTGAAAAGATGATGTATTGCATTAACATAAGAAAGCATCAGGTAGATTATCAGAAAAGCAGAAGAATTTCTGGGTGGAAAAGAAATCTAGAGAGAAGAAAAATGGTTTCCAATATCCAATATGGTTCAGGTGGAAGATGACAAAGAAGATCTAACTGTAGAATTGTTTGAGATGTAAGCTTACATATACTTAAAAGTAAAAAGTGGTGCAGATAGATTTTCTAAGCTCATTCTAAAACATTATACTAATAGAAAATAAAATGTAACTTCAATTAGCCTGCTGTTTTCTACACGGTATTTTGAGAACAAGGGAAGGGATTATCTTGTAACTTACATTTTTTCCATGATAGATAGTTTTAACCCTAAGAAGCATCTTGGAAGCAAAATATATGACCTACCTCATGGGCTGAGTTCGCAGAGCTGTTTTCAAGTCTTCAACTATTTTATTCCTCATTTCTGTTTCTTCTTCATCAAAAGCATACAGGGTCTGCATCTGTTTGGATGAGACCAAGAAAGAGTTACGAATCAGAACAGGAGAAAAGATGAAATTATTGAGTAATTCAAGGTTAATCAAGCATTACCTGTCCAATTAAGTTGGAGAAACCATTTGGATGCTATCAAGAAAACAAAACCTTCAGCAACAGGGCTGAAAGAAAAGATTCTACTTTCTAGGAAGCCCCAACTGGTTTTGAAAGTTTGGATTTCAAATAGGCATGATTATAATTTCTTTGCTTATTTTATTTTTCACCTGCAGTTAATTTTAAATAACTATAAGAAGAATTTTTTTTTAAAAAAAAACCACCAATATTCTCAGACATTGACAGTAGCATGTTACAAAAAAACAAAATTTTCAAATAAAGTTCCCATTAAAATTTCTCTTTCATTCATACCCCTTTATACCCTACTCCTTTTCCCCAAAACTTTTCATCTCACTTTGTGTTTGCAGTTTATAGAATCCAGAGTTGGATATTCCAACACAAGTCTACACTTCAGGATGGTCAGTCAATGAAGCAATTTGACTTTTGTACCGTATGCTACACAACTGGCCCAGAGATGTGGAATAAAATTTTGACACTGATCTCTGTGGAAAGTCAAATTCAGTCCACTGAACCAAGCAACTAATTGTCTCTCTTAGCAGAGAGGGCAGCCTTTCACAGCAAGAAAGTAAAAAAATTAAACCAAATGTTAAAAGCTAGCAAGAAAAAAGTTTTTAAAAAACCAATCTCAATGGAAGGCTTTTCAGAAAATAAAAGGATCTTAATCTGTACTTTCTTCTATATTTCTTCTCTTGGCTCACTCACAAGTACCCTCTGCCCTTTGCAAGTACAAGCTATAGTGAAATTTTATTTTTTCTTAGAGTTACCGTTACTGAACTCTTAAGGATTCTGTCAAGATGAAAATTAAACCAATCACCCCAAATACTCTTACAGACAATCGCTTTCTAATAGTGGCTGCCATTAAGGAACTAATCTTATTCCTACCAGGCTTTGCTTTTGGGATTTATCCCTAAAGATGGAAGAGCCATGTATCCACAGTATCAAATAACTTAGAGCTAATTTATAAATGTACGTGTTTTTTTTTTTAAAAAAAGCAAAACCCCTCATCCAATGACTCTGACACCTGAAGAAGGAAAGTGGAAACATCTGACATCATTCTTATAGGAACTACCTATACATTAACCTCCATGCACTGCCTGTTCTTTGTCCCCATTGTTTATAGAAGTGGGTTGAACTGAAAGTTATCCAAAGTGGAGTTAGGTGTACTGAAAGATGTATTTTCTTTTCTGCTCCATCAAGCTGTTACGTTCCAAGTAAATTATTTCTAAATTATGAAATTTAAATGCGTAACAGCTGTCTTGTTGGCCTTTGACACAAACACATCATATGTTCGGGGTAGTCCCAGTTCTAAAGAGTAGCTTCAGTCATTCGTTTGCAAACCTTTCTACACAATGAATATAACTTGGAGTAAAAGTAGTGACAAGTTTCCAAAACCAACACAGTAAAAGTAACTTTTCTTTCTTCTCATAAAACAGGAAAGGGGCTTGCATTATTAAGTTCAAGCTACTGAAGACAGAAAGAAGAATGACCTGAACTGTTCAACATTTTATATTCCTGAAAAAGGAGGGAAGAAAGATGGCAACAATAAGGATTTCATATGTTTATAAGTACAACAAAATACAAAGATCCATTCCACCAAATGCTTCATGTGCTTCAGAACAAAGTAAGAGAAGCAATTCCTAAGAACAAAATATTCCTATTTTCCTTGCATCTCATTGAATCCAGCAAAGGCATGAACTATTTATTTATTCTACAGGCCAAAAAATTATCAGGATAGCCTGTGAGTGGCTACAGAAGAGGATGGGACCATGGGATCACAGATCCATAGCTAGATACATTGAAGAGACAGTGAACAGAAAGATAACCAGATAGTTTGAAAGTTTTAAACTATATCAAAACAAAGCAACAAAAATGATTACAGAGCTGGAGACTAAAAAATATGAAGAACAGTTGCAGGAACTGGGTCTGTCTAGTCTAGTGAAAAGAAGGATTAGGGGTGACATGATAACAGTGTTCCAATATTTGAGAGGCTGCCACAAAGAAGAGGGAGTTAACCTAGTCTCCAAAGCATCAGAAGGCAAGACAAGAAACAAGATGGAAACTAATCAAGGAGAGAAGGAACCTAAAACTAAGGAGAAATTTCCAAACAGTGAGAACAATTAATCCGTGGACTGGTTGCCTTCAGAAGTTGTGGATGCCCATCATTGGAAGCTTTCAACAAGAGAATAAACAGCCATTTGCCTGGAATGGTATAGGATCTTCTGCTTGTGCAGGAAGACCTTCAAGGTCTCTTCAACTCTGTTATTCTGTTATCAAAGATTAGTGAAGTTGCCTTTTTTAAGTTTGAAAAATTAGTGAGAGATAAAGCCATGCTGATTTTGCCCTTTTTAAAAAAAGGGAAGGGTAGAAATGAGTTCCTAGCTAACACCTTCATTTTTCATTTCTTTCCACAAATTTAAGACCTTAGAGATGGCGTACAAAATTGCCGATTGAGAGCCATAGCCTCTTCTTTTCTCATCCCTTTCTCCAAGTAAAGCCAAACTTTTACGTGATTTAGGAGATGTAAAAAGCAAAAACAAAAAACAAATAGTCTAAAGCCCTCATGCCTTAGAACTCCTGAAATTCTCCTTCAATAGATTTTGATCAATACATTTTTCAATTACAGTCCTTGACATGCGACAGAAAGCCTGGTGCAATGGTTGAGTTGGTAGTAGTTGCACCATTGGCTTAAAAGCTTTGTGACTATTTACAACATGGCTTTTCAACCAGTGATACGGGTATCACCTGTGGTACATTGATACCTGGCAGGTGGTATGCAACCATCCTAGAAAAGTGGTAGCGGGGGAGGGGAATGAGCTGGACCGGTGGCAGCACCACACAAGCCTGAGCGAGAGATGGCTGGAGCTGCAGGGCTATCAGGGCTCAGTGGAAGCACCAGGATCAGCGCCAGGCTCCAGCTGGAGCTCGGCACTGATCCTGGTGCTTCTGCTGAGCCCTGAAGAAGCACCAATCAGCTGGAAAGCAGCACTGATCCTGGCGCTTCTGCTGAGCCCAGAAGAAGCGCCGATCAGCTGGAATGTTGCAGCATCTCCAGGGTCTTGTGATTTACATTCAGATGCTTGGCAACTGATTCATATTTATGTCGGTCACTGTGTCCCAGGGTCTTGTGAAGTGACCAAAACCTGCTGCAACCACCCAGCAGACGGGGGGAATAAAAAAACCCCACCCCACCCTTGCTGCCAATCCTCAACAGAAATGCTCACAACAATGAAAACCTCGGACAGGAGGAAGAGCGCCACCAGGCGGGCAGGCAGGTGTCTTGCTCGGCTGTGGCTTGGGGGACACTTTTTCAGTGCCATTGTAACTTCGAACAGTCATTAAGCGAACTGTTGTAAGTCAAGGACTACCTGTACTTTATCATTTTTTTCTTTCTTTTTTTTTTGGTCATCAAGTTTTTGACACCTTGCTAGGCAACTGGTGGTACTCAGATGCTGCATATCCTAAAAATGGTACAGTGGGTGAAAAGATCGAAAAGCCCTGATTTGCAATTTAGGAAAATGTAGAAAGGTGGGGAGGCTGGATTATTTCTAAGAATTAGGCCCTCCAAGAGCACTAGGGATGAAGAGATCAAACAGAGTTAGAAAGATCAAGACAACAACTTATAGATGGTAAAGAGTCTACTTACTGCTGCCATGGAATTGATGCGATCAATGTAATAATCTGGCCAGCTTGTAGCAAGCTTGTTAGGATCTTCTTGCTCCTGAAACAGAAAATAAAGAAAAAATTATATAGCAAAGATTCAGAGTCAATTCCATTTGCCTGGATGTCTTCTGCAGTGTCATCTCAAAACAGTTTATGAATTAAATAAAATGCTAATATCACAACTCTACCTTTCTTAGAATCAACATTTTAAAACCTTAGTTTTTCCTACCAAATACCACTATCAGCTCTGCTTTTTCTAGTTTTCATTTTCTCCCCCTGCATATTCACAGGTTTATCAGATATAACAAAAGCCCATTCTAGCCCTAATATCCAAGCCAAAAAACAAACTTTAAGAATTACAGCAATATATGATTCATTACGATGAAGTTCTTGACTATGCCCATCTAATCACTTAATTCCTGTTGTTTTCTGGAGATTATTTTCCATTCTCACCCGAGATAATAATGTGACTTCTGGTCATGGGCATCATTTGGCCAAGTCAACATGGCTCTATTGGGACCTTCAGTCTCATCGCCACATATTCTAAGTACAAAATATACCATTAGACCTTTAAGAGATACAGCTCATTTTTCAGAGGAAGTAGGTAAAAGAAGACATCCATATTAGAAATCCTTTCATCCCGCTGGGACAACTTTCCAAGTTGTATGTGTGGGGGCGGAGGGGAACCTGCCTAAAGGATCTGTCCAAGGTCCTGAGAGACCCTAATACCTTGCTTTATCTAGTTCCACACAATTAGACATGCATTTCCCCAGATGGCTTCTACTGAGATGGTTTTGCTAAGCTAGATCAAGATTCCTCATTTTAATATTGCTGGGGGGTGGAATTTGTTCCACAATCTTATTTACCTACCATGCCATTTAGTTTCGGCTTTCCTGTATTTGGAAATATTTTAATACATAACAAGCAATACATACTAAATAACAAATTTTATTTTCATTATCCCAATCATTTTTAAACAGGATACCATGTAAGACATAGTCCTCTCTGAAATGAACTTCATTTAACAAGTAGAGATTAGGTTCTTGATGTCTTGCTGTACTCAAATAATGATAAGATTACTCTCTAAAAATACTGCTGTGCTACTTATCAACATATACTGTGTGTTTTCCAGTGAACTAAAGACAGGAGGGTGAGGCTGTTATGTACAAAACAGTGTGAAGCCATTCTTTGTTATAATATAAACTTTGGCTTGGCTTCTTACAAGAACATGACATGGCAAGAGGCTCCCCATTGACAGTTGCTGATGTCGTTTCAAAAACTAGTTGCAAATTGCTGCACTTTATGTTGTTCCATTTAGCCTTCCTGTTTACTCCATCCAAAAAGAAACATGCAGAGGCATTTCACTCTTTTCCAGAAACTGAGTCAAAATAGTATCTAAATGCCTAAATAAATTGCAGTCAAATGCATTACTTCAAGCCTGCATTTGGGACAAAAAAGGAATCATCCTTTTTTTATCCAATTATGATTTTATTCTTTATGAACTGAACTGAGATTTGACTTTGAACATGTGCAGCATATACATTTTGGACCAGCAGTAATAAAATGTAAGTCTAGAGATTTTAATTCAATACTATTTACTATATCAGTCTAAGGGCAATTGCTATTGCTATTCCTGCCTGCCTCTGTTCTCCCTTTTGCATATCAGTATCATGTGCCATGCACAGCAAAGCAGATTCTACATTAGCAAAGAAAGGTTTTAACATGAATTGGAAATATTATTAATAAAATCCTTTTGTATCAAAGTAGTCAATGAAGAACAAAGAGAGAATTGTTAAAAAAAAATCCAGAATAAATCTGACTTGAGTTAGATATCTTTTTATTCATGACAACTAAAATAGTTGTCCAATATAGAGAAAAATAAAAATGGCTTTGGTTTTTGCCTAGAATTTACACTTGTTTTCCCACAAATATTTCTCTATAGTTTCTTGTTAATTGTATTAAGAGTAAACATCAGTAACTAAAACAATCAAGACAATTTTTTTTTCCTAAACGGGAAAACAGATTGCCACTCCAGCCTTTTTTCAGGTAACTCAGAAGATGAGATCAGATTTAAAAATTCAGTATTCAGGTGAATTTTGCATGAAATGGAAGAAATCTCTTCATTTCATCAACAGCAAGACAACAAAAGCTTGGGATAATACACATGCAAATATACACACAAACACACACAAGCCATTTCAAAATGGTCCATACAACATGTCTCTTCCAGATGCTTGATGATCAATTGTCAACTTGAAGCCCACAAATTCTTATCTCTAGGGAAATGGTGCTATTTTCATTCAAAACTGAGTATTCTTAGTTTCAGTAGAAAAATCTTATATCAGATGGCTGCAAGACAACTTGATACGAGTAAAAAAAATATTTCACACTACAGAAGATACCAAAGGAACATATAAATCCTCCCTTCCAAAGGCACACAGGTAGTGGTAGGATTCAAATATGTGAACAACCTGTTCTCTGTGTAGATGCCGCTTCTGGAAGTCCATTCTGGGCTTGGGCAACAAAAAATTAGCTACCGGTTCTGCCAAAGTGGTGCGAATTGGCTGAATCCCACCACTGCACACAGGTGTTACTACATGGAAACAATTACCCAACTATATAGGCAGACTAAGTAAGAAATTCATTTTAAATTCCAAGTGGAAGAACCAGTTTGGTGTAGAGTTTAAGGTGCTGGTCTAGAAACCAGGAGCCTGTGAATTCTAGTTCTGTTTTAGGTATGTAAGCTGGCTGGGTAACTTTGATCATGCTTTTTCAGCCGAACCCACTTCACATGGTTGTGGAGGGAGGAGTATTATGCATGTTCATTGGCTTGAGTTACTTATACAGTAATAAAAGTGAGATAAAGGTCTAATAAAAAGTAAATATTAAAATTTAACAAGAGATGCCAATTGCTATGTAAGCAAGTATCTCGTTCATCACTGCTGTGACAATATTTCAACCATGAGAGCTATGTTCAGTTCCATACAATAGCCTTGCAGTCAACATATACCATATTGTATAGAACAGAAGGAAATTATACTTCTGGGCCCTATTTTACTGTAACGCAGAAAGCAGAACTAGATTAAACTACTTCACATAGAAACCAAAATTTATAAAATAGTAAGGGGAAAATCTACTCCTCCTCAAGATGGCTGCTTAACAATAAGAAGCATTTTGCGGTTCGTGGCGTTACTAGTTGTACGGTGAGACTCCTCTCCTCGTCGACTAGGTTTCCCTTCGTCGGTGGACCCTTCTATGGGTCCAAAGTCACCCTGGAGGGTGCGACTTCTGTCGAGGAGGCTGCAGTCCGGCTGACAAGGAGCGGCAGCTCCTCCAGCTGTCCGGACGAATCTCTGAGGGCCGACGGAGAAGAAGATTGGCCATGAAAATGGCTGATCACCCTGCCGCTTCAGACCATAAGTCAGAAAACATCTAAGCTTTTAGTGCCCCCGTGGTGAATCCAGGTGAGAATTTTTTTTTAGTTTTCTCTCTGTTTTGCTTTTGTTTGTTTGTGTGCCTGTAAATAGCTTTTGAAATTATTTTCCTGGCTTGGAAAGGCGGCTTCTGCTCTTTTTTTGGGAAGAAAGGCATTTTACAAACACTGAAAGGCTATAAGCTGGACACTAAAAAGGAAAAAAAAGAAGGAAAAGGTTTTCTCTCTCCTTTCTTTTTAAGAACTTTACTATTTCTACTATCTATCTATCTATCTATCTATCTATCTATCTATCTATCTATACATATTATACTTTAAAAGACAGAAAAAAAGAATTGATTTTTGGAAAAGACTTTCCTAACTCACTGAGGACATCCAGTGGCGAAAATTTAATATTGTAACTTTGCTTACTTTTTTTATGAACTTCAAACATTAAAGATAAGCTGTACACCTGTGAAACTGTGGGGGTGGATGTTTTTACATTAAACAAAGCATCTACAAAAAAGAAAAAGAGATTTCCTTTTAAGTATTAGTATTAAAATGGAGAAACCTCAGATACAACTGAACTGTGCACTTATATTGGAAAAGATTTATGAGGCCACTGCAGAAATTTGTGCTACATTTAAAAACTGTATTTTAGAATTAAGATCCAGAGACTCTACTCTGTTTGCTCAAACTGATGTCCAGGTTACAACTGTTCATGACATAAATCAAAATGTACCAGAAGAGGAATCTACAGAGATAGAAGTGGAATTTATTTCATCTGACAATCCCCTCTACAGCAACTTAGAGAACCAGAAGAAGCAAAGACTAAGACTTCAAAATACAAAGCAACCATATCACAAAGAGAACAGAAAAAGACGTTTACTGCAGAGGAAGAGATTTATACTTTCTCAAAGACTACTACAAGCAATAAGAATTGATCTATTGGTTGAAAGACAAAAAAGATGTTTACTGCAGAGAAAGGGACATACATTTGCTCAAAGATTATTACAAGCATTGAGAATGGATTTATTGGTTGAAAGGGAAGCGTTTTTATGGAAACCTGTGTGGCATAGAAAGAAACCCAGAATTAGACTGAAAAACAAATTTAAAAACCTTTAATGGAGTAAAAGGCAATGTTGACTTCATGGATTGTTTTAATGATAATGATTCAGAACGAAAAAATGCAATTATATAAATCCATGTTTAAATTAGTAAAAATTGTTTAATGGATTAAAAGGCAATGTTGGTTCTATGGATTGTTTTAAGGATAATGATTTAGATTTAGAAGTAAGAAATCTACAATTATATTCATGTGTGTTTAATTTAGTTTGATGACTTTTTTTGTTTTATGGAAATTTGTTTGGTATGGAAATATGAAAGTTAAATGTGGAGTGACGAAAGAAACTTGGCTTTATAGAGACTAAGAATGCATTCCTTGGAATAATAGATTGATTTAGACTGGAATTTTGAAATGCTTAATTAATTAGGAGATTTTTATGTATAATAATACGTTTTGATATGGTATGATAACTAATTGGATGGAATTTGGTTTCTTTAATGAATGGAAATGAACTAATTCAAAGACTACTATAAGTAACAAAAATGGACTTATTGGCTGAAAGATTAAGGATAATGATTTA